GCTTTCCGTTCTCCAAGCGCTTGGGGTACATGGTATGCCTTCTAGGGTGCCCAATTCTTTGGCTTCCTCCTTGTGCGTTTGAAGTCAAAGTTAATACTGATGGTGTGGCTCGTGGTTTTCCAGGCAATGTTGGATTTGGTGGTAATTTATGAGACTATTTGTCATTGTCTAGGGTGCTTTGCGGGTTCTTTCGGTATTGTTACTGCTTTAGAGATGGAGCTTAAGGCTATTGTTCATGTTGACATAATGGTTACGAAGAAGTTGACATTCTTTTTGGATTGAGTGATTCTGCTTTGGCAGTGCATATTCTTTCCAATAGATCTATCAGGTGCCTTGACGTTTATTAGTTGAATGGTCTAACTATTGCACCATTCTTTCTACTTTGCAGATTCGAGGTTCTCGTACATATGGTGAAGGTAATTAGGTGGCTAATTGTTTAGCAACTTTGGAGTAAATAATGTTCAGATTATTCATTAGTGGGATTCTTTTCCTCCGTGTGCAACTGCAGCTTTTGTTCATGATTTTTGGGGCTTTCGAACTTACGCTTCTCATAGGTGTTGTTTTAGTGGTTTTCTCATCCTCTAGTTTTGAGTTTCCTTGTTGGTTTGAGCCTGGGTAGTTCTTTTCAGCTCTATCATTTTCATTTTTTGTTATGTTTAATGGTTTTTTGATATTGTGTTAGCGTTAGGTTTCTTGTCTCCCTAACTTATTGTACCTTTAATTTTTATTTTAAGATGAACGTTAGCTTGGAAGTGTGGGGTTAACTGTCCCTATTTGCCTAATTCTAGTTATATGGTCATTTTCTAGTTTCTAGTGGATGAACATGCATATAGCATTGATGCTTGGTCCCATCTAGGGAATCCTAGAAATTCTCTTCTTTTCGTAATCTTTAAGTTTTTTAATACAGCCTTACACTTTTTGTTAGTGACAAAATTAAGCTAAGTGGAAGTTAATTACATGCATGAAACACTAAAGTGTCAGTATCAATATTTACATAAAATTAACCAATCTATCAAAGTAAACAATTAGTTTTGTCTTCACTCTGCTGGCTGCTTCATCCCCTTTCAGTATCATCCTCATCTTGTTTCAGATTATCTAACAAGTATATCTAGATGTGTCACTTAATTAATTAATTAATTGGTTAAATGAAGATCTGTGACCGTGTGACATCACTATGATGTCGAAGATGCATGGAGAGGGGAGAGGAGAGGATGGGAGTTTTAAGATTCGATTTCAAATAACTAGGATAGAAGGAAACAAAGGGAATATTTTTACGCACCACACTTAAGTGACGTTGATGTTCATCACTTTATTTGTCATTGTTAAATATTTCAAGATCTATGTAGTGGATAGACACAAATCTTAAAATTTAAACTCATCTAATGATGATAAATAAAGTAATGAGCATTATCACAACTTGAGGATAGTGAGCAAAAATGCACTCGAAAACGAAAGAAGATTTGCAGTGGTTCGTTGTGATTGGGATGATGATATAATATAATATCAAGGCGATTAAAAGATGGGAATGCATGCTTAGAAGAATAAAATCATTTTGTAGGGCAGTGACTGGCCTACGATTAATCTTATTTTATACACTGGATTGAAGATTCAATATAATTTATAGGTTGATCCAAGAAAGATACACCATCCCATGTGCTTCTCTTAATTATTAAGTTTAAACATATTTTATGGTTAATTTGGAACAACTAAACAATAATTGTACCTAATTAAGGTTTCTAGGAAGAATGGGGTCATATATTTAAACCTCGCGCGCGTGGGATTAAGGAGGAAAAAATAAATGAATGGGATTTGGGTTCATTTTCTTCGTTTTAGGTAGAAAGTGGGAAAGGCTTAAGCGTATAATATTTGATAAATGAAGAAACCTAAAGGAAGTCATTGATTGTTGTCGGATCCTTTTACTTAAAGTTTGTACTAGACGATTAGGGTTCGGATAAATGAGAATATTGAAACTGAAGGTGATGTTTTCAGTAATATTTTCGATATGTGAGGATGTTAATTTTGATATGATTAAAATAAAATTCACTTTACCAAAACTTTAGAGTTGATTGGCAAATTGATGATATAATATACTATATATATCGTTTTGGAAAAGATTATTTTTCATGCTCATCAAATATAGATTTGTTAAAAAAACCATCAAGGCATATGCTCAATTTTTTGGGACGAATTTCAAACATGTATTTTGCTCGGGACCTTCTAAGTTCAATTGATGGCGCTGGTGAAATCACACAAAGATGACTAAGAGAATGTTGAAATGCCTTGTGAATCTTTCTAATCCCCAGAAGAGTGGACTACCTTGATGAAACCACCAACTGACCCATTATTTTTAAAAAGTACAGATTTGTTCTTTCGGCTACTTAGTATTTTAAAGTGAGACAAAGGGTACCCTAACAGTTCACCAAAAAAAAAAAAGGTACCCTAACACATTCCTAATTGTATTTTTGATATTTCCCAAACCATCACCATTAACCAAATTGCAAACCTACCTACATCGGTAGCTAAGACGCGAGTGGTGGGGATTTGAATGGAAATTACTTTCACATCAAATTATCATTCCGCCACAAAGTTTAAAGGGAGTTTATGATTAGATTAGAGGCTCCCTCATGTGTCGGTAAGAATTCTTCTAGTTTTATATCACAACTTTCTCTCCTAACATCAAGTTGCTAGGAAGGTATTTAAGTAAAGGTAGGGTTTGATCGAAGATAAAAGGTAAAGTTGATGTGAATATATGGGGTCGAAAGAGATGGAATTAGCATCACTTTCACAGAGTGATGGATACGTGCGTGTGATATGGATGGAATAAAGGGGAAAGGCAGATGGAGGTTTAACTTAAATCTGATCTCTGTGATGGCTACGCTTTAACTTAACAGAAACCCAGAACAATTCCGTGTGGCTCACGGGATGCAGGAAAAAAGATTAAAGTGCTTAAAAAGGAAGATGGTGGATACTTCTATACCATGCAACTTGAACTTTGCCTTTATCTTCATTCATCTTTACAATCTTTCCTTTGTTCCCATTACACAACATTAAAATCTCCGATGGGAATTTGATTTAGAAGAAAGTTGAGACTCTACCATACATAATACGGGAATAATTCAACTACTTATAAGTACATGCAAAAGTTTCTTCTTTTTTCGATGTGGGATTTACTCTCAATATGCCCCCTCATGCACGTGTGGCAAATTTTCAAGTCTAACACGTGAACAACACAAATTGGGTGACGTGAAGCATGTCTGACCGTTGATCTTCACACATGGGACAACCTTACTCTGATACCACGAAGAAAGTTAGATTCATCATAAAAGCTATGACAATATAAGGAGTAGCTGAACTACTTATAAGCACATGCAAAGATCTCTCTTTTCCCTTATATGAGATTACTCTCCACATCAGAGGCCCTCAATGATTTAGAAAATTACGAATCCATGCATGCTCTAATTAATAAAAATATGTACGAGGCGAGTTGTTTAGACATCTACGCTTTAACAAATGCGTACCGAAGCATTGTCTAATAAGGAAGTTGGTCCCGATATTTTCCTCATTTCCAAAAAAGGGTTTTTCATTTAGAAGTCTTTAACACCATTTTATTGACAAACACTTCGAACTCAATACTTTAATGAACAGTTTTGCTAACTTCTTACAAATAACCAAAAAGAGAATACGTATAATATAACCCATCATTTTGTTAGTTACAAAAGCGTTCTTCCATGAAAGAGTTCACAAGTAAACTTCAAGATGCACCTTCAAATTGAATGCCTGCTTTTACTTGTTGAATACCAACAACCGCAATAGTTTTTGGGTAAATTTCAACGTCACTGGTAAAATTCAAGCACGAGAAGAATGCTCATCATCCAGCAGGCTATTCGACAAGATCGAGCGGGATCGGGAGCATAACTTCAAATTCTCTAAATTCTAATGTGATCTCTCAAAATATTGTCTGTCAACAGTATCTTGCTTCTCAAGAAATATCCCTCACATTGCATAAATGTGTTGAACGGTAGTTCCATCCAGCTCTATATTTTTCTTTTCAACAAGGATATAAAAATAACAAAACCACGCATCAAATCCATGTTCAAAATTGGATTAGCACAGATATGCCTGCAATCTTGAACAAATCATGAATTGGACAATGCAAACTCAACCAAAATTCTGGCCCAAGATGCCTAATTAAGCCAATTTTTTTATTTCTCGAACCGAAAAATTACAAACCAAAATCAGAACATAGTCCAACCAAACCTGCAGATGCATAACAGAACCATCAAATCCATGGTCCTCTTTTCTATTTTTTTCTTTTTTTGAAAAAATGGGAATTAGTTATGGGATTTACTTCACATTGAACTTCAATAATTCGAACTGTTTATTTTATAAGCCTCTCTATTAATAGATCATCCTTGCAAAAATTCAATTCATTCAGAAATCATTTTGCCTATTTAATTATCACAGTGAAATTTCATTATTTCTTATAGAACAAAATATTCGTCAATTTTTTTTAACTCAATTAGATGTCTCAAATATTTCCAATTTAACTAATATTTTGTAACAATGAACTATGAAGTGCAATTTAAAAAATAGATAGTTCAGATCGTTAAAGTTCGATATAGTAAACGCCCTACAACTAATCCCCAGTTATAAAAAAATGGAGGTCCTTCCTTTAAAGGCCTTCTATATATATCAGCCTATTTTTAAACATTACCAATATGTAGGCATCGTGTCAATGATTAAATTAGATCAACTCTAGATTTTCAACCTACGTTACAGGAATAAGTGGATGTGAGTTTTCAAATCTTGTCCAAGTCGAAGATAGAAACTGGATTAGTCATAAAGGCAACATATCTCTTTTAATTCTCACAAAAAGTAGCAAAGATCGGGAGAGAAAAAAGTCTGATTCTTGACGAATCCATGTTCCACCTTCAACTTAGGCTGACATCCATTTCTTCATGAAGCATACAATGAATCCAATCCAATCCAAGACACCAAACGAGACCAAACATTTGGTTCGTGCCTTTATATTAAGGAAGAACTTCAAACAGGTAATGTGAATAGCCTCATAGAACAAACATAAACCATATCATCCATTTAATACATTATTTCATATACAAACAAGTTTCGGATATCATAACTCACAGATGGAACCACAAACGTAGGAATCAAAGTAGTGAGTAGGAATCAAAGTAGTGACCAGTGCTATACCTTATAGAACTACAAGTACAGAGACACTCGAGCACAAGTATATGAAGTACCCCGATCACCTTGTTCAATATATCCATCAATATCTTGAACGGCTCCTAACCCTGTAAGGTCAGCTCTCGAAATCAATCCCCAGGAGTACAAATAGGCCCAGGCAACAAAAGCAAAAGGAACACAGTGGAGTCACCTTGGCGAGCGGGAATAAGTTCGTGAACGATTACGAGTTCGGGAGGGGGAGCGAGATTGAGAACGAGAACGAGACCGAGACCGGGAACGGGAATAACGCCTTCGCGAACTCTTGCTTCTGCTCGGACTTCTACTACGTCGGTGTCTTCTGCCATTAACACATCTTCACAGTCATGGGAAAGACTATAATTACAGCATGGTGGTACGCATAAATTTTTGACCCGCCAGACAAGACTATAACATGATTTGGTTATCAGGCTTATTAAATTCATACTTGCAGCCAGCACCTATTATGTAAAAAGAAAATTCAACTACCTTGGAGGAGAGCGGCTGTAGCTCCTACTGCGACTACGACGCCTAGATCGACTTAATCGGCTTGTTTCTGCAAGTTTTTCCAGCCTCTGACGCTCCTGCTCTCGCTTTTTAGCTATTTCAGCAGCTGTATCTTTCTTAACTGAAGAAGCAATTAAGTTATCATATTATATACCACAAGTCAGGCACTGAGTAACAAAATTCAAAAAACAATCAGATGTTTAACGTAAGAAATGCATTAAGTTGTCGGACATACTCTGTTTGTTCAGCTGCTTACTCATAATCCTTTTAAGTCGTTCTTGAGGAGTTTCTTTCTTCTCCACTGGTTGCGGCTTCAATGGCCCAACAGAAGTACTTCCCTTAGTTAACTTAGCTATAGCCGAAGATGTGCTGTGAGTAAAGAAAAAATACACTTTAAAAGTGACAAATATATAGTTTCAAGGATACAGAAGAACCAGGTGAAGATGAAAACAATAAGCACAATGATTAACAAAGTCTTCAATAGTTAAGTTTCCTCGAAGATAAAACATGAAGAAAAACAAAAGATCTTCTGATCCAGGCTTCGTAAGATACCTTGCTGGTGGTTTCACCACTTTAGTGCCTTTATCCTTCTCAGGGGATGCACCAGATGCAGGATCAACATGCAGAGCCTCGAGTATGAGACCAGTTGAAGGCCTGCAGGAAAGAAGAAGCATTAGGAATAACAATTTCGGGGAACAAAATGAGCTTCAGAAATGAAGCCTCCTTCCCCCTTCCTCTTGGCAGTTTGATAACCCTATAAGCCTGAACTATTCTAAACCACTATATTTTGCCTCAGGTAACAAAATGGGTGAAAAGCTGCAGCAGAGTCAAGAGTGTCCAATGAATCTTTTGCAAGAATAAAAGGTTGAGTGCTCCGACCGGTTTAACATATCGGTCTGTGAGGGAGGAGATGACGGTGGAGAGAACCCTTCACGCTTAGAGCCATCCTTGTTCCCGGATCCCCCGAATTCAGTAATATATTCTATTTTAGCAGTTGTTGGTTTGCTTCGATGAGCATCATCAGAATGTCGTCCGCGAGGATATCTCCGTGAGTATGATGGTGAATATGATCGCGATCTTGATCTGCACACGCAAATAAATAACAAGAGGTATCTAGCAAAGTCGTTTTGTGAGAAAATATAGATATGCACAGCAATGATATAAATATTTTACCTTCTTGAGCGAGGGTAAGCTTCATATGTTGGACTTCGTCTAGTTTCACTGCATACACAAAGAGTGTGCAATCTTATTGTAAGTGTTATGGGAAGCAAAATACCATTTGGCATTGGGAAGACAATTAGTTTTGGAAAAGAAATTTTGCATTTTTTACCGGTATGGGTCATGGTGGAGCACCCTACTTCCAGTTACACGTGCAGCTTCTCTTTCTCTCTCCCTCTCTATCTGAGAAGCCTTCCTTCTTTCCTTGCGACTCAGCTTCCTCTACAGAGTTTTTTGCAAAATCAAATAATGCATTATGACAACTAGAACAGAAAGCACATGTAACCCACAATTGTGAGAACTTACAATTGCAGGATCGCCTTTGATCACTTCTTTTTGCCTTTTCTCCTCCTCCTTAGCTTTCTTATCCATGTAAACAAGCCAACCATATCTTTTTACGCCAAACTCTTTTGCTATTTTATCCATTCCTTCATCACTGCTGTCATCACTGTTGAAATCATCATCATCCTCATCTTCGTCATCATCTTCATCGTTATCATCAGGGTCCGAAAACTGGGCCTCATCTTTTCCATCCCCTTCATAAGAGTACCCCACCTGCGAATAAGAACCCTTAGCAGCAGAAGGTTGTTGCACCTGAGACCTGCTACACGTGCATCAAAACACAAGAGCAAGACTATCATAGTAACCTTCATCTTATCACTAACGAACAAATGTATTTAATGCACTATACGAGAAGACCTGCACATGGAAAAATGCAAAAGTAAAAATCAAACCTCTTAGGAGCAAAAGGAGCAGTAAACTTGGCCTCTATCTCTTGATCCACATGTAGCAAACCCTCATCATCGGTAACTGTTAACGTAAGAAGCTTAAAACTGTGACAATCTTAAACTAAAACCCAATATCGCATTTAACATTTCGAACATCAAAGATTGATAAATTTTGTCTTCCAATGGTAACATTTTGCATTACTCTAGCCTTTACAGATACAGAAAAACAATGTATAACCTACGAACTTGAGACCGTGATAGAGCTAATTAACATAAGCATGGTCTGTAATCTACAATGTAATCCACATTTAAATGAATACACACGATAAGAAATTAAAATAAAGTACCGACATCCTCTACGACGATGCTTAATTAAATCCCGATAACGCTCAAAATTAACAAACTCTTCTAATTCCTCCTCTTCTTCGGACTTTTCTTGAGCACGCAAGTGCCGGGTATCTCGAATAAAATCGAGCAGAGCTCGGCCATCAAATCTGCATTTCACATTACCAATACACAATTCAAGCTAAAAAAACTTGACAAATTTAACATAAAATCGACAGCAAAACGAAAAAAGAAGTGAAATTTATACCTATCGATCAGAACATCCTGCTTCCCATTCCAAGGAATCCTGAAAGGAATTGAATTCGAACAAAACGACGTCGTGATTATACATACAATACACATATGCAAACTGGAGCTGAAAGAAGAAGGAGAGTTGAGGAAAAGAGGCATTACAGGCCTTGCTGGTCCTCGGCGGCTTGGTAGAGGCCGTCATCGCGGTACAAGCGGCAACGGGAGCCGACGACCTGGATCGACTGCTGGGGGTCGCCGCGGCGCTTGGCCAGGAAAACGGCACGTCGTTGAGCTCGCTTTCGAGCGGCGTCCATCATGTCGTGGACCTTCCGCTCCGATCTCCTAGCTTCGTGCCACATCTTTCCACCGGATTCGAATCGATTCGATTCGCGTCAACTGGTTCAGTTGCGAACCTGACAGGAGCCCTAACCCTTTTGGTAGTTGCACTTTGCCTCCTCTCACACCGACTTATGCCATGAGAACGATGAGCAGAAGTTACAAGACTTTGGTTTTTTGGGTTTTTTCCAGCCCACATGTTTTGGTATTTTGGGTCTTGGGCCCACATTTACTCGAGCCCAAGACTGTCATACTTTTTCATATCTACTACTTTGGAGAATTTGAATAAGGATTTTATGCAGGGGCGCAAGTTGGAATTTGGAAACTTTTGAAAATATTGTACGGATTACCGTAGTTTGGCCAACATTGCAGCCCTAGTGGAACTTAGGTTACAATAATGAACGAAGGAAGACAGAAACCACTTGTATCATAAATTCAACTAGTCGGTGAGCTAGGTCGACGTGTCGGTCCATCAAGCCTTCAAACCTTACAACCTCTATACTAGATAGCTAGTCTAGCTCACATTATTATGTCTTGACTCATAACTATGTGACTAATAGTCCATTGCTTGGCAACTGGTCTAATCTAGGGCTGGGCAAATGGGTACTGGACCCGCGGGTAAGGGCGGGTAATGCGGGTACGGGGCAGGTACATATATTGTAAATTCAAAACGGGACGGGGCGGGGCGGGTACAAATTTCAGAGAAAACAGGCCCCCAACCGAACATTTTCCACCGTTGATTATAGGGAGATTAAATCTCCACCATTTATTTCTAACACAGCCACATGGGTTATATCAAAATCTCCAGATCCAGACTCCAGAGTCCTCTCGAGTCCCCGACTTCTCTCGACCTCAATCTTGACCTCGACCTTGATATCTACCTCAACCTCGATCTTGACATTGATCTCGACCTCGAATTCTTTGTTTCAACAACCATTTCCAGCCTCCAGAATCCAAATCTCGACGCCTCCAGTCGTCGGGGGTCTGTCGGTCTTCAGATTCCGTTCCTGTGTTCAGCCATGCCCGGGAAGGACGACGCTCCTCCGAGAAGGAAAAGAACCTCAAGCTTTTCGTCAAAGACGGATTGGACGAGCGCACGGCCAAAAACATCATCACCAACACCGCCAACCTCACCGTCGCCATTCACGAGGTACTCACTTTTGGGGGTGGTGGTACGGTTAGGCTGAGTGTTTAGGGTGGTTGGTAGAGGCTTGGCTGGGGTTTATGGGGCTAGTGCGACTGTTCTGGGAATTTTGAGGGGATGGGATTGACTAATAGTTATATTTGGGAGTTGCAGGTTAATTTGTTAAAGCAAGGAAAATTTGAAGAAGAAATATGTAGGGCTATTTTAACTAATCAATCGTTGATTTTCTTCTTCTTTTTCTGCTTAATTTTCGAGGTTTTTCGATTTAAATGCATGCGATTCATAATCCCGCGGATGTATACTTTTAGATTTAGTCTACTTATTTTGTTGTTCTTGAATAATTCCAGGTGGTGGTTACTGATGGATCCAGTTTTCTGATTTATCTTCGGCAGCTCTTCGACTGGAATCTGGGTAGGATGCTGAAAATTGGAGAGAGAGAAAAAAAAAAGGTACCCGTTGGACCCGTAGGAACCGGCCCGTTTTATACGGGCCGGGTTAGGTCTGGTTCTCAATTTCAAAATAGCCAAACCCGCCCCGCCCCAGTCCGTTGTATTTTCAAGCGGGTCCGGTCCGGTCCCTCCAATTTTGGCCCCGGCCCGGCCCGTGCCCACCCCTAGTCTAATCTTCCTATACCTAATTTCCAACATCAATGTCGACCCAATTTTCATAAAAATCTTTGACCAACAAGGAAAAAAATTACATGTAACGAAGTGCATATGGGCTTGAGCCTCAAATTTAACTAAAAGAGGACACCTTAAAGAGTTCAAGGTCCTTTTAGGTGAGGAGGCCACCTCGGCTTCATATTGGAGCCCTTTGATTTTAGGGAACTTTAACGCAAAGCTCTTGGTACTGTTCACCTTAATGAAAAATTACATTTTTACACTAAAAAATCAATCCTGGTACTATTCACTTTACCCTTTATTTTGTCTTTATCGTTAAAATTCAAACCATTTTCATTAGTTTTTCTTTGATTTTATATAATGCCTAAAAATTAATGTGTAACATTAAATATATTTTACTGGTTGAAAAAAGAAAATTACAGCTCGTCCCTTTTTCCCCAAACTTCTTCACGTGATGCTTTCTCTTCGGGCTTCTTCACGTGTTGTGCAGCAGCAAGCTTCCCCCAAAAAATTCCTCATTTCTTTCAGAGTTTTAGCGTGTTCATTAAAAGTTTAAGGGGAAAATTGGTTACGCTCACCCTTAACGTCATTTAGTATTACGATTTATGTATTCTTTTTTACTTGTAAGTAACATACCTTAGATTTGACTCTAGCAAATTTAAATCAAATTATTATAGCTAGCTTACTATGAAGTTTAACCTATTTTTTTCATCTGTTTCCTTTAGTGATATTAAATGTGTTAAAAAAACTCTATCTAAAGACTCATTTCTTATAGGGACGGCTTTACCTATGCCCCAATTCCTCTCTCTTGCGACATAATATACTCATTAACAAACTAATGGGGTTTGCCACCTCTAAAAGCAAATAACAAGGCACCATGATAGGATTTTTAGGTACCTGTGCAAAGAGGTTAAAATCACACAAAATACTTGTAAGAGAACAAAGTTGTTGTGGTATAAACAGCTCAAGTAATGTCGTTTTCCACAGAGATTATTTAAAACAATTTATGAAAAACCCTAATCCTAGTTAATTATCTGAAAGTAAAGATTGGAAAAGGTTGATTTTGAATTTAAAAGTTATAAAAACGAATTTTAATAAAAGTAATTTAGGGAAAACAACTAATAACCAATTAAAAAGGAAACAAATCAAAGAGAAAAGATTTTGAGAAACAAATTTGGAAAAGCACAGGGTTCCGCCGTCACCCTAATAATCCTACATAGTTCTTCTAATTCCCTATGAATTACACATGCATATTTTGAAGGTTAGGTTTTCCTAAAGTACGCCCTACTTGGAACCCCCAATATAGAACGTATATCTAATATGCAACCCGTTCGTGGCGTCCAGATCAAATGTGAACATGCAAGACTCATTAAGTTTTGTGAAGACCTTTTGAAAAACCATATAACTCCTAAGATTTGTCGTCCATCCTAAGTAGTTACGCATGTTAACCACAAGAAGCCTAGCCCTCCGCCAAAATTGCATCAAATTACTTTTCTGATTATCCTAATGGTTGCAAATCACTAAGACAAATGGATAGTTTAAAGCACAGTGATTAACAATCCAAAACTTGCATGCATAAATTCATAAGAAAGTTGAAAGAGACTACATATTCTTGCTAAGGATCATGGCCTCACCTTAACAAAGAGAATTAGTTACACATATTCAGAATAAAAATATAAAAAAAAAGTTTTTATTAGAAATAGAAAAAGAATAAAAACACCTTGTAGAATAAACTCTAAAAATCTCTTAATCTTTAGCTAAATCCCTCTTCTCAAATCTTGCGTACGTCAAAGAAGAAACCCTAGATCTACCAAAAGGCTTATTTATACCACTCTAAATAAAATCCTCCTAGTAAAAGGTCTTAGAATAAGACTAGGAAACCTAATAAATTGAAATAAAATAGGAAACATAATCCTAAATTGACACAGCCACGTTTTGGACCCAAATTAGCTCTAAAACTGGCCCAAAATAGCTGAATTTAGTGCTTGGATTATTTTGAACACTTCTCCAGAAGGCCACAAACCCATTTGAAGTCATATTAGGCTCCAAAAATGTAATTCAAGCCTAGAAACGTCGAGCACTGATCCTTCATTTAGTCGCCAGAAAATAACCGTTTGGTAGAAAAATCCCAAATTTTGACACGAACACTCCAAGAGACATACTAACATCCTTCAATTTGAATCACTCCAAAATTCGTTCGTTTGATCATGTTTTGCTTCAGAGAAAATCGAATGTCCTATATTGAAAATATAAATCAAAGTATCAAAATTTTACCAAAATAATTCCCAAATTCATATTAAAAATATGGTAAAATATATAATATAATATTAATTCTTCACACCACCTTATGTCTTCAAAGTATGGGTAATCACTTTGTTACTTGGTTTTTGTCGTTTTGTACCCAGACACATGAAAAGGCGCGCATTAAGAATTCAAGTCAAATGGTAGCTTGGGATCCCAGGACTGAATGATGGGTGCCTGCCTTCTTTTTTGATTGGGGAAACAAACTTAAATTAAGATATCAAAAGGCACTTCCATTGATAGCTTTTGGCTTTAGAATTTAGGTGAGATCATTATACGTAGAAACCCCACGAAGCAGAAACCAAATGATATTTGCTTTAAACTGCTGCTTTTGCCCAAAATCTACGAACCAATATGTATTGAAATGAGTTTTTTACTTTTTTTTTTATTTTTCAAATGTGCTGGATTGATTTTCCGCCGACTTGAAACTGCTGCGCTGACTAATTACTACTAATTAGAAAGTGCTTTTGGGTTAAATTTCAAAAGACATGGGACACCTGACATGATAAAAAGCACAGCGCATAATTCCCATGTCACTATTTCCTCAGCTTTTAGTTGTAGGGCTTGGCATGGACGGGTCGAGACATGGGACTCCAAAGTCATAACCATCAAACACACAGCGGCAAATTCCCAATTATAAAATATCATAATTCATACAATATTTGATGTATCGCATAACATATGATATATCGCATATCATATGATAAGTAAAAGTAGATAGCAACTTATAATATACTGCTATCGTAACATTGTATATTAATGGTAAAATATTTTGTAGACAAAAATTTACATATATTTTATATTATTAATATAGGACGTTACAGTAACAATGTACTTATATCATGTACGTACTCTTGAAAATAAGAACTTTGGCATCACCAAATAGGCATCCACCTTCTCTTCTTGGTCAAAGAATTAATGAAAGAAAATTGCATGGATTCACCCTCTACCATATATGATTAGTTGGTAGTTTATACAGAGGTTTGCGTATTGGATTGTTTATTAAAGAATGTTATAATTAAGCTTTAGCTAACTCAATCGTGAAATTGTGAATTAAAATATTATGGCGTGTTCTATCTGTCAA